TGTCCTGTGACTGCCCCTCGAGGGCTCTCAGGCTGACGGAGCGGCCCTGTGGCCTCCTCGGTGTGGGGTTTTCCAGGTTTTTTTTAACTTTTTTTTGGTACTGGGAGTCAAACTCAAGACCTTATGCTTGCCAGGCAGGCGCTTGTGCCATTGAGCTATAGCCCCGGCCCCTGTTTTGTTTTGTTTGAGATAGATTCTTGCTCTATAGTCCAAGCTGGCCTTGAACTCACTAGATAGCCCAGGCTGGCCTCTAACTTGCGATGATCCTCTGCCTCAGCCTCCTATGCGCTGGGATGACAGGTGTGCGCCACCATACCTGGAGGGTTTTCCCGTTTGGGCAGGGAAAAAAGGGAAGATTTGCCCTTCCCATCATGCCAAAGTGGTGGAGGGGTCGGGTCATCCAGACCAGGGAGACAGCGCCCGGAGCCTTCTCACCGCGCACACCGCCTGGCACATGTGGAGCTCCTTCCCCGTCTCCCGCCTGATGACTTCCCCTCTGCTTCCTGTCCCCAGGACTCTGCGCAGATCTCTGGAGTTAGGCAATCTGTGTCTCCGTGACTAAGTTATTTCAGCATAGTTTCCTCAAACCCCAGCCATGTGCTAGCATGTGACAGGAACTCCTTTGCGAGCGTGGGTGGGCCACACCGCCGTTATCTGCGGGCCCGTGTGGACCCTTGGGCTCTGCGCTCGGGGTGTCACCAGTGTGTGTTGGGTGACAGCTCACAAGGTGGCTCTCGGGGGAAACAGCTCAAGTGGGAGAGGTGAGGGAGGGGCTATAAGGTCATATCTGTTTTCCCTTTGTTAAGTTCTTTTTGTTGGGTTGATTTTTTTGGTTTTTGGAGACAGGGTCTCACCATGTAGTTCAGGCTGGTCTTGAATCCACTACGTAGCCTATGAACTCGCAGTGATCTCCCTGCCTCAGCTTCCTCAGTGATGGATTGCAGGCCCTTACGCACCCGGCCCTTGCTCCCTTCTCCTTTCTTTCCTCACCCCCGAGTCCTGGACCCTTGCCCTGCCCGCGCCCTTCCTGAGCACCCCTGTCCTAGGGCTGCGGGGCCGTGAGAGCCCGTGGCCCTGCGCAGGTGCAGGGTGGCTGCCGCAGCTGTCAGGATGGACACCCAGCAGGCGCGGGAGAGGGGGGTTCCTGGACGTCTCACAGCTGTGCGAGCTTGCCCAGCACCCAAGGCCGGGAAGAGCCCTGCGGGGCAGCCTTGGGCCCTCTCCTGGAAGCCGCAGTTTACTCTGGCAAGAGGCCGAGGCTGGGCGGGGACCCTGTAGGCGCTGGCAGGGAGCGATTTATTTCTTGCTGTCACCGTGTTGGCGGGGCCCGGCCCTGGGGGAGGGGAAACGGGAGCAGGGATGGGAATCTGCCACTGGATCTGCCCAGGGCGGGGAAGGCCCAGCCCCTCGCCAGCGGTCTCCAGCGGGTGCCAGCCCTGCCCGGAGCGGGGCCGTGGGGCTGCCCCGCTGCCGAGTGGGGTCGGCCGGGCACTTCCGTAACCCAAGCTCAGAGGACGCGCCCACGTGCCCGCCCGCAGGGTGGTGATCATGAACTCCATCCTGGAGCACATGTGCGCAGACGTGCTGCAGCAGACGGCCACGCAGATCAAGTTCCCGTCCACAGGCGTGGACACCATGCCCTACTGGAACCTGCTGCCCCCCAAGCGCCCCATCAAGGAGGTGCTGACGGGCGTCTTCGCCCAGGTGCTGGAGAAGGGCTGGGTGGACAGCCGCTCCATCCACATCTTCGACACCCTGCTGCACATGGGCGGCGTCTACTGGTTCTGCAACAACCTGCTAAAGGTGCGGGCGGGCGGTGGGCAGGATGGGCCACACCCGGGACCCCTGGCTGCCCACCCACACCCCTCAGTGCCCCGTCCCCACCCGCCCGCCAGGAGCTACTGAAGGAGACGCGCAAAGAGCACACGCTGCGGGCGGTGGAGCTGCTCTACTCGATCTTCTGCCTGGACATGCAGCAGGTGACCCTGGTCCTGCTGGGCCACATCGTGCCGGGCCTGCTCACCGACTCCGCCAAGTGGCAGAGCCTCATGGATCCCCCTGGCACCGCGCTGGCCAAGTAGGGGTCTCCGCCCCGCCCCCACACCCTGCCCCTCCTGCTGTGTCCGGAGCTGGGCCTTGGGGATCCGTGTAGGGTGGAGCCCCGTAACCATGCGCCCTGCTTCCCGGACCCTCCGCCAGGCTGGCTGTGTGGTGCGCCCTGAGCTCCTACTCTTCCCACAAGGGACAGGCGTCCTCTCGCCAGAAGAAGCGGCACCGGGAAGACATCGAGGTGGGGGCCTCTGCTGGCCTGGGCCTGAGGGGTGGCTGTGTGGGACCCTGGGCATCTCAGGGTGAGGGTCCGTGTGCTTCCTGGAGTGTGGGAGGGCTGAGGAGGGGACCCTGCCCCCTGGTGATGGCAGCAGGAGGCTGTGGGGAGCTGAGCTTCCTCACCCTAACCTGAGCTCTAGCCGGACACGGTGGCACACACAGCTACTCGGGAGGCTGAGGCAGGAGGATTGCCAGCTCAAGGCCAGCCTGGGCATGTTAGCAAGTATAAAGAGTAAACAAGGCTGGGGCTCAGTGGCAGAGCACTTTCCCCATGCGTGCAAGGCCCCAGCTCCGCACCCACAGAAGCCCGCTGAGCCTGGTCCTCTCTGAGGTCACCCACCGGGACTGCTGGGTGCTGGCACCCCCCCACCCGCAGGATTACATCAGCCTCTTCCCCCTGGACGACACGCAGCCGTCGAAGCTCATGCGGCTGCTGAGCTCCAACGAGGACGACGCCAGCATCCTGTCGAGTCCCAGTGAGCACGTGGTCTGTGGGTCCCCCGCCCGCACCCCCGTGCCCCGCCAGGCCCTTCTGCCCGGGCCGGCTTGTCCGTGTGCCTTCCCTTGTCGGCTGAGGGCTGGCAGCTGCCCTGCTGCCCACCCGGGAGATGGGGCTGCCGTCACCAGCCCCAGGAGCTGAGGTTCTTGCGCCCAGGCGCCGCACTCCACCCCCGCAGAGGTGGGACCAGGTGCCCAAGTGCGGCTGCCTCGGCGTGGCCGCGCCCTGACTCCGCAGCCGGGCTCTCGCTTCCTTCCCGCGAGGACAGCCTGCCCGCGCAGGCCCGCTCCCCCTGCCACTTCCGCCGGCCCCGTCCCTGGCCTTTGGGAGCTCTCCCGGCCACAGTTTCCTCCCTCGGGGGCCCGGCGCGGCCATGGCGCTGGGCTGCCGTAGCCAGCGCCCTCGCCCTCGGCTGCCCTGTGGGACGGGCGCAGGGGTTCCTGGCTCCCTCCGCTGCGGCGCCGAGGTCGGCGTCCTGGGTGTAGTTCCCGCCCCTGGTCTCCTCACCGGGCCTCGCGGAGAGCGGGTGGGAGCCGTGTCCCCTCCCGCCCACAGCTGACCGCTCCGTGAACAGCTCCCTGTCAGCCTCCCAGCTGCACACAGTCAACATGAGGGACCCTCTGAACCGGGTCCTGGGTGAGTGCCCTCCTGCTGTCCCTCGGGGCCAGGGGCTCCTCCTACCCCGACCCCTCTACCGCGTGGGTCGCCTCGCCTTTTCCCTTTTCAGGCTGCTGGGGGGCCACTGCTCGTTTTTCCCTCTTCCTGGTTTTTGAGACAGAGTCTCACTATCTAGTTTAGCCTGACCTTGCCCTCATTTTCGTAGCCCAGGTTGGCCGTGAACTAAGTCATGGCGATCCTCCCGCCTCAGCCTCCTGAGAGCTGGGATGACAGGCACATGCCCCCGCGCCGGGCTTCTTTTCCTTTGCGTGCCCCCGGCCCCCAGTCTGCCCCCAGCCGGGCCCCTCACGCAGCCCTTCCCGCCCTTGCCCTGCACAGCCAACCTGTTCCTGCTCATCGCCTCCATCCTGGGCTCGCGCACGGCCGGCCCGCACACGCAGTTCGTGCAGTGGTTCATGGAGGAGTGCGTGGACTGCCTGGAGCAGGGCAGCCGCGGCAGCATCCTGCAGTTCATGCCCTTCACCACCGTGAGCGCGGGCGGGGCGGGGCGGGGCGCGCCCGGGGCTGCGGGGACCCTGTCTCTGGCCCCCGTGACCCCTGTGCCGTGTGGCAGGTGTCGGAACTGGTGAAGGTGTCGGCCATGTGCAGCCCTAAGGTGGTGCTGGCCATCACAGACCTCAGCCTGCCCCTGGGCCGCCAGGTGGCCGCCAAAGCCATCGCCGCCCTCTGACCGCGCAGGCGGTGAAGGACGGGCGTCGGTGCTCGAGCCACAGAAGGACTCGGAGCCTTCCTCCGCCAGCCTTCCCCGAGGCGCCGGCAGTCTCCTCCCCCTGCCGGGGCAGGAAGGGCTCCCGGAGGGGACCTGCCCCAGGGACAGGTGGACGCTGGTGCGTGCACTTGTGGGGCCTTGTCACCTGACTCTCCTGTAAATAAAGGCCCTCGGGCCCCTTAGTGACTGGAAGTGCTGTGGGTGTCTGGGCCTGGACGGAGTCCCCCGGGGCCCCGTGTGCCGGGCCGGGTGAGGAGGGAGAGGAGGGTAGGGCTCGGGTGCTGCTTGTCCCCTCCCGGGCAGACCTGGCCGGTGGGGCACTGTGGACCCCGCCCTCTGTCCTGCCCTGCGGTGCTGTGCTGGGACAAGGTGCCCTGCTGTGTGTCACCGTGCCGGGGCCCTGGCCTTGTGTTCCAGGAGCCAGGTGGGGCTGGGCCGGGTTGGCTGGGTGCATGTGGCTCCCGAGGTGTGGCCCTGGCCCCTCTGACGGCCACAGCCTTCCCCTCCAGAGGACATTGGCCGCAGAGGCGGAACAGAGCCACGAGAGGGGACCCGGCCTCGTCTGCACAGGGCCTCTTGTCCCGTTGGCCCTGGGCCGCCTATGGAGGCTCGGGCCCTGTAGCTGCACATGGGCCCGCCCGGGGCACAGACTTGGCACCCTCTGCCCAGCCAAGCAAGCGTAGGGCCTGGGTGCACCTCTCCCAGCACCTGGCCTGGAGGCACCAGGAAGGAATGTGGGGGAGCCAGGAAACCCCCGCCCCCTTGCACACAAAGAGCAGAAAGGACTCTCAGGAGCGATCAACTTTATTGTCCTCAAACTTGGTTACAATGAGAAAGTGGGGTGGGGCTCCCTCGCACCCCTCGTCTTTCCAGTCCCATCCAGGCCCTGGAGAACCCCACCTTAGTGGGTGCCGGGGCAGGCACCCGCTGGTGCTGGAGTCCAGGCCCGACCAGAAACCACAGAAAGAAAGCTGAATCCCAGGGCCGCCTGCGAGCCCTCCCGTCCCTGCGCCAGGCCCTCGTGCCTGGGGTGGGGCGGGGCGGGGGAGGGACCCAGCTGGGGAGCTGGGAAGAGTGCTGTTTAAATATTAAACAGGGATGTCATCTCCCACGCGGGAGACCTCCTGATGCGCCTGGGCCCGGTGCAAGGCACAGACGGGGGTGGTCCCCGGTGCCCCGCGCAGAGAGGGCTGGGCGCGGGAATAAATACTTGGTATTTACCTATCTCCTCCCGGTCTGGGACCAGGACGGGAGAACTGAGCTCTCACTGCTACAGGCAGGAGAAGAACCCAAGACCGAGGGAAGCACCCAGAGTCTGGGGCTGTATTTTCTCCTCCCTGGGTTTAAATATGAGGGTTAAATAAGCATAAATATTAAATAGAGATAAATATTCCGGCAGGGAGCTGCGCTCAGGGCCCTGTGAGGTAGCGCAGCGTGCGGTAGGCCAGCTCCAGGAAGCTCTGCAGGTGCGAGGCCACGAGCACCCCTCCTGCCTGGCGCTGGAAGGCCGAAGTGAAGGTGGGCATGATGCCCTGCATAGGCTGTGTGGCCGGGGCCACCCCCAGTTCTTCCATCTGTAGGGGGGAAAACATGATCAGCGGCGACTCCGCGGGCCAGCAGCCAGGGAGGCCTGGCAGGGAGGTCGGCTCTCCCCAGTGAACCCAGCATGCTTCCTGGGTGCCAGGCTGCGGGGCAGGCATTCCAGTATGACCACCTGCCTCGCCCACCAGGGGCTCACCTGCTGCCAGACGGTGGTGGCAAAGTCAGCGACATCCAGCTGCAGTGTGTCCACGGTGGGGGACAGCTCAGGGGAGACTCCTGCCAGCGCCTGCAGGAGGCCCTGGTACAGGAGGAGCCCGGCCTGGAGCTGGCGCAGGCAGCTGGCCTGGGGGAAGGAGCAGGGCAGTGAGGCGCCCCTGCTGGCGCAGGCACCCCGTCTTCTCATCGCAGGAACGGGGTGCAGCCCCCTCCCTGCCCTGCCCCCTCCGCCTCTCACCAGTTGCAGGTCCTGGCTGGAGCAGCTCCTCAGGTGAGCCCACGGGATGCCCAGAGAATGGCCCAGCAGTGCCAGCTCCTCGGGGTGGCACAGCTTGTGCATGGCACACTGGGGGTGGGAGGGTGCGGTAGGTCACTCGCCAGGACCCAGCGCCCTCCAGGTCCTCGGGCCGTCCTCCCCTCAGCCCCACCCTCCACCCCTCCATCGCCCCTGGCACCCAGCACAGGGTCCCTGCCCAGCTCCCTCCACACCACGTGTCCTGTGTCCTGTCCTCCATGCCCCTCGCTGGTGACCTCCCGCACCCCCTGCTCACCAGCTTCTCCTGCATGGCCACAGCCTCAGCCTGGGCCCTCCGCGCCTGCTCCAGGCACTTGAGCACGAAGCTGCGGGGCAGGGGCAGGGACGGGGGGCTGGCGGGGTCCAGGGGCGCAGCCTCGTGTCCCCTCCAGAGCGCACTGTGCTTCAGCAGCAGCAGCAGCAGGGCTGAAAGCAGAAGACACGGCCGCTCCCACCAGGTCCCTCCAGGTCCCTCCGGGAGACGGCAGAGCGGCCGAGCCCCACGGGGGCCGGGCCCCGGCGCCCCCACCCTGGCGCGAAGGGGGCCGCACTCACCCATCATCCTGGCGGGGCTCTGGGCAGCAGCGCGGGCCATGGGGCTGCGGGGAGCTGGGCTGCCGGTGTGCTGTCAGACCCACTTCGCGGACCTTTATACAGAACCCATGGAAGCCCGGGAGGAAATTACCTGGGGCTACTAAGGCTTAGTAATAACTTCCCAGGATTTATGCAAATTTGTTGGTGTCCAGGACAATGCAGGGGGGTTGGGACACAAAGCTGTTTGCGAAAGTTTTGTGAAATTGTGGAATCTCTGATCCTTCTTTGACGTCTGCCCCCCTCAAACCCTCTTCCTCCAGGACAGCCCCGCCCAGGGCTCAGCTGCCCTGGGGGGTTTGACCAGAAACCAACAAGGCAGAGCAGGGAAGTCCTGGAGGCCCAAGGCAGGCCGAGGCTGGTCACAGGTCCTGGCTGGAGACGCTGCCTCCATCCTCCCCCAGGGGGCACCCCGGGCAGCCCCTCTGCCCATCTTCTTGGGGTTCCCAAGCCACCTGCACCCTAGGTCAAATTCTAGGGGTGAGGAAGAAGCTAATTGTCCCCTGACTCCGGCCCCGAAACTCCCAGGGGGCGCTCGGCCTCCTGTGGGCCAGGGCCCTGAGGCAGGACCTCCGCTCTTCTGTCCCACACTTGGAGCCGCACGGGGCCCCTTCCAGGCCGTCCTGTCCCGGGCTGATTAGCTGGGAACTCCCCAACATCCCCCCATGACTCACCCCTTAAGCCCCCGGAATCTAGACAGAGGCCAGAGGAAACCGGATATCTGTCCTGAGTGAATCAAGACCCTCCGGGGCCTTGTCTCACCTGACCCTGCCCTTCCACCTCCTGGCACACTCGTCCTGGCACATGAGCTTGGCACACTTGCCCTGGCACACTACGGCAGAGTCCCCGGGGCTCTGGGATTGGGGACGGGTACATGATGTTCCCCCGGCCCAGGGAAGAGGCCGCCAGCTGGGATGTCCCCTGCCCCGACGAGGACCAGGCGGGGCATAGAAAGGGCAGTCTGCCTGGTCCACATGCCCCGAAGGCCTGTAGCCTTAGCACCGGAAGCAGCCTTGGAGCCCAGTCCGCCCTGTGAGGGAAGGGCCCTGCCCAAGGTCATGGGCGCACAGTTGGTGCCTCAGCATGGGCTGTGCCTCAGTTCTGAGTTCTGAGGGCCTCAGGTCTGCCGGGTGGGACTGGCTGTGGCCAGCTGCGGCTCTGAATTCACTAGCCCACCATGCCCCTGTCTAAGCCACAGGGCGCTCTGGGAGCAGAGGCTGAAGGCTGGGTGGGCGTCTCCGGGGCTGGCGCGCCCTCTGGTGGCCAATGTGGCAGCGACGTCACCTGTTCCTGTCCTGACACCTGGCCTCTTCGAGTTTGCAAACTAATTTACTATCAGTGTTACCAAAAGCCTTTGGATCTCCCTATCATCTGTTCCCGTGTGGGGAGTTGTCGGCTCCAGGAGCCCCGTGGGCTCTGACCGAGGCCCCCGCACGGGCAGTGAGGTGTCCACAGAAGACCCCACTCCCCGCAAACGGACCTCAGCCCTATTCACAGCACCCCGTGCGGCACGGATTCCGGAAAGCAGTGCTCACTCGCGCTGGCCCAGGGCTGGCTTTTTCGCACCAAAGCAGCTACGACAAATATGCACGTGAGCCCGGCAAGGTGGCGCTAATCCCAGCACCGTAATCCCAGCACTCTGGAGGCTGAGGCAGGAAGACTGCAAGTTTGAGCCCAGCCTGGGCAATTTAGTGACTTAGCAAGACCCTGTCACAAAATAAAAAATGATGTAGCTCAACACAAAGACCCTGGGTTCAATCCTAGTAACACACACACACACACACACACACACAGAATAAATGAATATGTGGACATTGGGATTTGAATGTCATGTTTTTGCATGTTGTAAAATATTTTTTTTCCTTAACCATTTAAAAATATAGAAGCCATTCCTCACTCAGGGTGTAAGTGCCTCAACCCAGAGGCTTGCTCGGCCAACCCCAAAGGCTTCACTGAGAAATAGAATTTTTTTTTTTTTTTTTTTTGTCATTTTTGAGATAGCGTCTTGTTACACAGTTTAGGCCTTGAACTCACAGCGATCCTCCTGCCTCAGCCACCCCGGTGCGGGGATTACAGGCGTGGGGAGGACTAGAATTCTTGGTCACAGGACATGCGTATTTCCACCTTGACAAGGGACAAGCGTTACTCCAGATGGCTGGCGAAGCTGCCGGAGCCAGCACCAGGCGGAACAGGACGGGAGCGGAGGCCGCCAGCGCTCCTGTCCATTCCGACACCTGGGAGTGGGCTGGGCGCAGCGCTGGGGTCCCCGGCACGAGGAGCAAGGCCCAGGGAGGGCCGCAGGAGGGAGGCCGCGGGCCGGGCCCCTGGCAGCCCACCAGGCTCCGCCCTGGGCGGCACGAGGTCCGACAGCCTGGCTCGCTGCTCTCCGCGCCCCGTCCCTGCGTGGGAAGAGCCGGTCAACAGGCGGCCAGATGGGCCCTTCGGCCTCCCGGAACACTGGGGGGCGGAGCCCCAACGCGCTGGGGTCCTGCGCACAGCGGCGCGGGGCTCCTCTTCCCCGCCGGACGTGCGCGGGCGGGCGGAGGCCTCGGGCGCGGCGCAGGCAGCCTCCCCCCCGCGGCAAGTCCGGTTCGTCCTCGGAGCCGGCTGCGGGCCTGCCGGGCTGAGCGCCCCAAGGACGAGGAGACCCCGCCCTCGCCCACCGGCGAGCGGGGAACTGATGCGAGCACGGGGCTTTGGAGAACTCTTTATTGTTTAAAAATCCTAACTGAGGCGTGAAAAAACATTCCACCCAACACAGGCCGGCTCCGGGGCTCCGCCG